TTTATTTATATATAATTATTTTATTTATTATTAGCAGTTTGATCCTGATTTGACCTTTCAACCTCTTAACTTTTTCGGATCTATGGTCGATTCGATTTCCAAAACATTGATGGGTATCGAATAGAAGATCTCAATATGAACTTTAAAACGAAATAAAATGCAAAAGCTAACTCTTTACTTACAATTCGCAATCGTGTCTCAAAGTTGGCTGTCTAAGAGTAAACCAATACTTTTAATTTCTAAATTTTAGGTCATTGACCCTATCTTTCTAACCTTGAAAATTAGTCCTCAAGCAATTCATATTTCATCCATTAAATCCTTTACTAATGTATAAAAATCTCTCTAATTTTCGGATTTAAATAAATTCTAAAATACGTGAATTTTTAGGTTGTTACGATGCATTTCAAATTTAAGCAAAAAATCATACCGCCTCATACAAGAAAATCTAAAAGCATCCACATGACACAGCACAACACAGTAAAAGTAAATGATTATTCTATATGTACATCAAGGTTTACACTTTAATTTACATAATGTTTAAATGACATTTAATTATTCGGTGATGCTATATGTATATTAGAGTGTCCATAACGATGTCCACCCCCTCACATGGAGGGGAATCCACTTCAAATAAAATATAATTTATCTGAAGTGGATTCCCCTCCATGTGAGGGGGTAACACCGCATTATGTACAAGTAATATATTCCTTAATTATTTGCTAACAAAAGAAAATGTTTTTCCACTGGCCAATGATGAAATGCTATCTGAATATTATGTACACCAGAGTGTAAAACTTGATATACTTATAGGAAAACCCAAAAGTAAAACCATAAAATTATGTAAAGTAAACTGAAGCCATAGAAGGATAATAAACAAGCAAAGCAGATATAGATCACAGAATCAATAATATAAAAATTTAGCCCCCGTTTGGTCCTCATTCTTTTCAAATTTTAATGGTTGGAATAGTATTTTTTTGAAAAATGTGTGGTTGAAAAGTTTTTAATTTGTGTATAATATTATTTTATGGAAGATTGTGTGGTAAAAAGAATGAAAAAGAGTAGAGAGAATTAAAAAAAAAGTGCCTGTCGTACATCCAAAAGTGATCCAAGATGTTTTAATATCGAAGGTCAATGCAAGTCTGCATGCTCATCAAATGACCGTGTTCCAAAAATTAAACAAACACTTAATCCTACACGCATACACCAATATAATGTTGTTTTGTCAGGACAGGGGGAAAAAATTAAATAATAAAGAAATTAATTAATTAGGATGTAAAAGGAAATGTATCAAAGCAAGTGCTTCTCATATAATAATAAGATTAATCCGTAAAAATGCTAACACTTATTTAGATTATTGATCATGCATAGATGGTCGAGGGAGAGAGATAATTGTCAGTTTAAAATGCTTGTCACCGAACAAATACTTTTAAGCTGAATGTCAAAATTATGGAATTTATTCCCACAGTTCAAACTAAGCAGTTCAATTTTGTATAAACGAGATTTATTACTTGTTTGATAGTGTTTATAAGCTGCAAATCCAAACAATTTGTCAAACAATAGTTAATTATAAGTGAGAATAAGTTGTAAATCCTATTAAATTACGATAAATTATAATTTGAGCTTTGTCAAATATTTAATGTAGTAAAACCCAAAGAGAAAAACACGGACATCCAGACTTGCATAATTCACTATAACACATTATATCCATCTATATGCTTCACAAACTTTTGTGTGGATTTACTTGATATCAACATCTACATTCAGTAAGCTCCTTACTACAAGCTTCAACAATAACAAAGAAGAATTCAAACCGACTCTCCTCGCTATTAATCTTTCAACTAAAGAATGGATGATAAGAAGATGAGACGAAACCCAGATCATAGCATACTTGTGTGTACATATTCGTTCAAAATAATGTTATTTATAGACAGTGATCTATCATAAGCAATTTATGTGGTAATCCACATCCTCCTATTCAACATTACTCATTTTTATATATATTTTAAAAAAAAAAATCAAATGAGTAATATTAAATAGGATGTTGATTTCCTTGTGGACTGCCTATGATCGAAGATTTAATCAATTTAAGTGCTTGTTTGGTAGGAATTTTGATAATTATTTTTTGAACGTTAGAGATAAAGTGGGTCCTACATGTGAGAGAAGAATTTAAAAACGACAGTTGAAATAGTAAAATAACGGTCAAAATTGATTTTAATTGACTTAAAATCTGTAACAAACAAGCACTAAGACGTTTTGGCATAAAAAAATTCCAAAACTGTGCAAGGAAAGAATTCCGCAATTTTTATGAATGAGTCTTGGCTGAATAAGGAAAGAAGTCAGGATTTGACTTTCGAATTTTGTCGACTCTTACTTTCTCTTCAGAATTCTCAACTTAGACTTGTTTCTTTATTAAAATACTGATTTTCTTTCGTTTTACAATCTTGCACGTGTAAGAATCGAGATTTGCTTCCTTTAATAAAAATCTTACACCTCAAAATTGGGGTTAAGTAACAAGATTTACTTGAAAGAAATCAGAAATGACACAACACAATATTCTGCTCTGTCGTGTTTACGACAAACGCAAACATACCTGACTGAAGAAATTCTGATTCAACCATATGTATGAAAATCATTATATAAACATAACATGTAACACAACTAATAACCCAATATCAATTCAAGATGAGTGTTGGGACTAAAATTTTACTAAATTAAATAAAGTAATTTAATTAAATATGGTTGAGAAATTATGAGATTAAATTGTTAGGATTTTCGATTTCACTTAGTTGCTAGTGTTTATCTAATTCCAATTCATTCAATCTATTTTCATACGTGTCAGCAATCGAATTAACCTAGTATAATTAGTGATTTCTCTTGAATAACACTAAATGTGTGTTTGATTGTCAATATTTTCTATGAAAAATCTGTTTTTTTCCACCCAAATTTCTAGTTTTGTACTGTTTGATTGTCATTTTTTTCCATGGAAAATATTTCCTACTTTTGGTCACGTGACCATATTTTCATCAAAAGCAAGGAAATTATTTTCTTTAGGGAGAGTATGATTTTATTTTCCTAAGAATTCACTCTCTCATTCTCTATCCACTCTCTCTTGCTATGCACCCTAATTTTATTCATAAGCCCAAATTTACTATATCTATATGTAATCACACATTTGCATGCTTTAAACTACAAGAATTCTGTAAAGATTGCATAATCTGCAATCTCTCGATTTCTTATAATACTTATGTTATTTATTACAAAACTAGAATCATATATCTCCTCTAAACCTAAGTACTATCACTCAATCAATGAATTGTTGTGCAGCAATTGAAGCATTAAACACATAATAAATAATTAACACATATATAAGTCATATGAAATCTTGAAATTAAACAAATGTTAAAAATCCCAAGCTCTATCGTCATCCTAACATCAAATGTATTTAGCCAATCTTAATGTCGAAATAAACAAATAAAAGCCAAAAGACATCATCGAATTTAATTACAATAGACAAGATAAAAATTATTTCGAACAATTGTCGATTTTATCCACACGAATCCCAACAATGTTTTTCGTTTTCCTTTCATTTTGTATATATTCTAATGGTTAGACGATGAAACATGATTAATTCCAAAATTCTTGCATATTTAATTATTTCTCCCAATTTTATTTTTTTTCTTCCAATTTCCGCCGTTTGGCTTTTTTTTTTTTTTTTCTTCCTCTGCATGCGTTTTCTGCTTCCCTTCCTTCCATTTTCCCTGCCAGCTTTCTGTTTACCCCCCAAAAAAATTCCAATTTCAATTAGACTTTCCTTCCTTTTCAAAACCTCCAAAAGTTGATTTTCATTGCACTTCCTCCAAGTTGGAATTTCAATCCCATTAGGTAACTCAATTTCTGGCCACATTTTATTTCACAGACGCCAATGCTACACGTCTATAAGAAAGCGAAATTTAGTCCTTGGATCCATTTATTTGTGCAGCCCATGTCTTTCTTTACTTCAATTTAAAGTCCTTTAATTTTCAAAATATAGAACATGGTCCCAAAATTTCCTTTTTTTCTCAAAATTTTTCCTCCTTGATCAATATTTGCTCCGATCTCGAGTTTTCTCCTAACATAATTCAAAAATACAAATAATTAAATATCAAGTTCAGAATAATACTAACAAAAGTGACTTTTGATAGCGAAGATAAATGTAATTTCACACTTATCATACAGTGAAAGACATTTACTACTTGTTCAATAGAATGGAGGGCCACTATATAAAGAAATATAAGTTAAAATTTTCGAACCACTCCAATGTAGCACGCCAGACATGCATACATGTAGAAATCCAACTTGATTAAGCTCAAAACTCTATCAAATCCAGCATATGCTACAATTGAAGCTCAACTTATGATCAAGCACAAACATGAACCCTGAGAATTACCTGTAATAGCATAGGTTTAAATCTGATTGCCATTTTTTGGTTGAAGCAATTCCAATAGACTGAAAAAAAAATCTGCACTGGTAAATTGTGTGAAGCAATTCCAGTACATCTACTGATAGTTGCGATAAGAACAATCAATTAATGAATGTTGCTGTTTACAAGTTGCAAAAAGCCGTTTTTCTTGTATTGTGTTTGAAGTCGATAAAGAGCATCAAACATTAGTGATATAATGCCAAGATTTAAGAACAAATAGCAACTATATGCACGATGATGGCCAAGATTTAAATGATCATCATTTGTATTCATGACATTCGATTATAATCTGTCATCTTCGTTGTAAAACACACTTCGATGACAAGTACGACTCCAATTTTATGTTGTAACTAGGCAATTTTAAGCATTTCATTTCTAATTTTTCTTACATGAATAATCTTGAATTTCCATTCCCTTCTTTGAGTTATAACTTTTAGATTTTTCGTTTTCGTTGAACTGTAAGTCTCATTAGAGCAATTTTGCACCTGTACGTGTGATAAAATGTTTTAAGAATCTGATTTCATGTTGGGAGAAGGATATCTTATCTTATAATTAACTTGCAACTTATAAATATGGAAATTCATATGGATAAATCAAAATACAGACAAGAAAACATCACACTTGTAGCATGTTTGGTTTAACTTCAATACATCACACTTTTGGCATTTTTTGCTTCTTTGTCGACTTATTTCCGCAAGACTCTTGAAATACGCGGCTTCTTCTACAAAAGAAGCAAAGCCAAATATGCTCGAATTCATTTGAAATAATCCAACAACTAGTGTTGGAGAAGATCAACCTCCCTCTCTTCAATTCTCACAGGAAAACCGCCCTTCATTTTTGATGTGAAGTCTGATATATATATCGGCTCATAGCCTTTCTCCACCACCGGGACCACCCTGAAACGCCGCAAGACACCTCCAACAATCCTCTTCATTTGCAATAAAGCCATGTCCTTCCCCAAACATATTCTAGGCCCAGCCTGAAACACTGGGTATGTGAAGCTATCCTTGCCCACGAACCTCCACTTTCCAGCTTCATCCTTTGCCGCCTCTAGCCACCTTTCAGGGCGGAACTCCTCCCAGTCAGGCCCCCACACTTTCTCAACCCTCCCCATTGCGAAGGGATGATAGCTTATTCTCGTACCCTTTTTCACCACAGTCCCATCTGGTAAAATATCATGATTCGCTGCTGATTTTGTGTCCACGGGAACTGGTGGATATAATCTCATGCTTTCGCAAAGCGAAGCATGAATATAAATCATATCCTTCACTTCCTCATAAACTGTCCCTTCTGACGTCTCTTTAATCTCTTTCAGAATCTCATTTTCCACTTCTGGATTATTGTAAAGCAACCAGAAAAACCATGTTAATGCAGCAGAAGTAGTGTCACGGCCAGCTAGTATAAAACTTATCACTATATCAGTGACAAAATCTTCATCAGAATGGCCAGAACTCAAGAATCTGGACAGAAGATCAACAGATTCTTTGGAGGTTTTTTCTTGAAGTTCTTGTTTTTTCTCTTTGATTATTGATTTTGCAAATTCGCGTACTTCGTTTACAACAAGCTTCAACTGCTTTTCAGATCCTATGTTGAGAGCCCTTTTGATTTTCCATATAAAAGGGATATTTGAGTTGAATCTTTCACTGATGAGTGCAACAGCACTTCCAAAAGCAACAGCAAACCTTTCCTGCGGAAGAGATGGCAACAAATATGCAGGATCATATCCGAAAGCAATATTGCAAACGTTGTCAAAGGCAAATCTTTGGAGTATATCTTGAAAATCAAGCACAATTTTGTTAGCTGCAGCATTTTTGAGAACCGGGATTAGGCGATCGGATAGTTCAGAATCAACTACAGTTTCCACGAAATTACGCAGAGACCTGGTGTTAAATTCATGGCTCGAAACTTGTCGTTGAAATTTCCAATTGTCACCATCAGCATTGAATATGCCATCGCCAAGAAAATCTTTCAAGGTTTTTCGAAAAACATCTCCTTTGCGGTAGTTAGAGAAGTGGGTTTTGAGCATATATTGGACATTGGCTGCGTTGGCCGTGAACATTTGCCGGTAGCCAAAAGGGCGGTAGAGAGTGTACGTGAGGTTGGGTGTACATAATACCATTTCCGATGTCCACTGGACGCGCCTATCCTTGTTTTTCAAGATTGTGAAAATTGAACCGAAAATAGGGTACGATTTCGGAAGATTTGTTGCATTAGAGGAAGAAGAGAAATTTTTGGAGCTGGATTTCAAGTTTGCCAAGATCAAGAACAAAAAGGGAATAATTATGGACAAGAGAATCGAAGCGGAGATCTCTACGTGAAACATTTTCGATCTGAAAGGAACAAGAAATGGAGTTATATGTGAATCAGGTTTATGTTTGCGAGGATTATGAGAAATGGAGGCGTCTATTTATAGAATTATAATTTCTCTTCCTAAAAAGTCAATAAATTTACAAACACTAAAAGCTTAATTTTTATCCTAACCAAACAGGGACTTAATTTATTATGGATTTAATTACAACCATGCTATGGGTACAAAATGGTATCCAAAAGGGTGTCCATTTGGATACCATTTTGGACACTCGGCATTGGTTGAGGCGCCTGCCACGCCAGGGCCCATCGGCGCTTCGACCAATACCGAGGTGTCGAATGTCCATTTTAGACACCCCTTTGTCAATCATTTTGTATCACAAGTATTATTCATTTAATTATTTTCTGTTTAGGAAATCTTTTCTATTGTTGGTTGGCATTTCTTTTCAAAAGTACACTGTAACTAGGTTTATCACTGACTTGTCATAATGAAACTGTGAAGTGATTTGATTTGGAAACCTTCATTGACTTCAATTCTAAGCCGAAATGTTAAGTTAATGAAAAATTAAATTATTACTTATTCCCTGACTTTTTATTCTTGTCAATTAAGCCCCTCTTCGAGAACCACTATTTGAGGAAAATAATGTTTTAAATAGTAATTTTTATAAAAAAAAAAAAAAATTAATTTACATACAAAATACTTTATTGCGTGAATTTTTTATTTAAAATAAGTATATAAAAAAAAAGGATTTTCAAACAATGATCGTCAAATAGAGGCTAAAATACATCCATGCTAAAGTCGGCATGTGTTTGTGAGATGAATTGGTTTTCAAATTCAATGCAATACTGCATAATGCATATCAAACATGAATAGACATTTGATGCCTCAGACTTGCTATTCTCTAAACACTTTGATACACTATATCTTCTTAATAAGAGGGTGTTTGGTAGGAATTAAAATTAAATTTTTTTGTAGATTGTGATAGAAGTTTTTGCAATGTGTGGTTGAAAAATTGTGGAACCCATAAAAGATGTGGTTAATAATAATTGTTTAACTTTGATTTAGATTTAAATCAGATTTTAATACGAACCAAACAAGCACTAAATGAAAAGCTGCTAATGTGTGTGTGTATATATATATTATCATCTGCTCATTCACTAAGAAAAGTTGTATTTGAAATGTAATATATTTTAACACCTCGGTACATCACTTTTTTAAGTAAATGAAAAGAAGCTAATGTGTAATGTGATGAGATATAAAAGTATATTTTCATCTTCTCATTCACTTACAAAAGACGATATTCTGACGTATAAAAAAGTAGTGTTAAACACCATGATGTGCTTATGTATCAAGAATTAATGTTGAATGGTTCTTGCAAAAAAAAAAAAAATGGAAAAGAAACCTTAGTAATCTTTTCAACTGAATTAAATTATAGACAAAAGGATTGAGTGGCAAGAGAGAAGGGACGTAAAAAAAGTCAAAAACCCTAATTCAATGCCTTTTGTAACAGGACCACAAATGTCGGCGAGTTTGATTCCAAGAACAAGAAAAGAGAGGAAAATAAATGCTCGTGCGGCCGACTGGATTTAGGCCGATTGAATTGCGGCTTCAAGCAGGCAGCCGACTGAAATGCGGCCGATTTATTTCTTATCTTGCGTTCAATATAATTTATGTTTATTTCATATTTCATGTCTTTATTTAAAAAATATATTAATTTACATGAGATATTAGCGTGTTAAAATTATGAATATATAATTTTTTTTATATATGTAACATTTTTAATATTTGAATGAGCCCTATCATTCTCACAATTTATTTTTTCAAAACTCAATTTCAACCGTACATTTTTT